ATTTAAACATTATTCATTATTCATCGTTGAAAAGATATTATTTTATGCAACAAAGATGAGAAAGTTATTGGTTGGTTACGTACTTATATTATGGATGGTCAACAATTATGCGATGAAACGTTTTGTGAAGAGAAATTCAGCCGAGCGATTAACGCATTACAAAGGTATTTATATGTTTGCTAAGAGTTAATTTCAAGAAACGAAGTGCAGTTAACTTCACTTCGATTACACCCAAACGCAATCTAATAAATGCAATTAAAGAGATAAACGAACAAGACGATGAAGAGCGATTACTAATTGATATGTTTCATAATTATAATAAGCTGATCAGACCCGTTCCTTCCATCAATTCTACACCGATTATCGTACAATTCGGAGTGGCTATGATATTCCTTATCAATGTTGTATGTTCATTCTTCATTAGCAGTTGTAATCATTAATATTTATGCTGGAATATGAGTTTAATGAAATCGTTAGTGATATGAATCGTAATAATAATTGTTTGATATAAATAAAAGGATGAAAAGAATCAAGTAATGCAAACAAATGTGTGGTTAACGTTAAAATGGAAAGATTTTCAACTCAAATGGAATCCATCAGATTACGGTGGAATTAGGAGTATATTGGTGCCGCGCGATAAAGTTTGGATACCTGATGTTGTTCTGTTCAATAAGTTTGTTTATTATTACTATTATAATCATTATATTATAATCATTATTTATATTTATAATAATATCAAATTATAGTGCAGACGGTAATTACGAAGTGTCGTTTGCGAGTAATGTGAATATACGTAATAACGGTGAAATAACGTGGGTACCACCAGCCATTTATAAGAGTTCATGCACCATCGATGTAGAATACTTCCCTTTTGACGAACAAACTTGCATGCTTATTTTCGGTACTTTTAATGTTACTTATTATTGTTGCTATCATTATACTCGCATAATAATGAATGTATAAAAGGCTCATGGACGTACAATTGGAGTGAAGTTCAACTGAGTTGGTATAATAATAGGAGGAACGTAGAGTTGAATGATTATTCATACAGTGGTATCTGGGATATAATCGATGTGCCGGGGCATATCGCTAAGAACGGTTCGATTGTGGTGTTTGATATTGTTATTCGAAGGTAACTTCATAACGACATTCATCTAAGCTGCACCANACCATTCTCACCGCTGAAGTGAACTATGCATGCTCAAGGAAAACACGATGCTAACATCATTTGATGATAGTATCGTCTACCTCATGCTTTACTAAACCGTCCAATTAATGCATCAATGCAACACAATTTTATACCAGAATAAAATCGAGAATTTACTTATTCGATCAAAAGAAGCATTTGAATTTACATAATAACGAATCGATTTTAAGGAAGACATTATTTTATACGGTGATTTTAATAATCCCAACGGTATTGATGGGCTTGTTGAGTATGATGGTGTTTTATTTACCAGCCGAATGCTCCGAGAAGATAACATTATCAATAAGTATTCTATTGGCATTGGTCGTATTTCTGTTATTGGTCTCGAAGATATTACCACCGAATTCGAATACGATTCCGTTGATGGCCAAATATTTACTGATGACTTTTGTGATTAACATTATGACGATAATGGTGATTTGTTCAGTTGTAGGCGATACTTTTTACAATTAATGAGGAAATGGGCTGTAGCCCGCGTTCGCAATAGCTGTTCCGCTGGTAGTGAAGTGGCATTAGCTGCTATTGCCCACCTCTCGGAAGCAGTAATAATCATAATGACATTAATCAGGTGACAGTGATAGTAATCAACGTGCACTATCGACGAGCAACTACACACAGTGCAATGCCCACAACGATCCGATATCTCTTCCTTAAATTACTGCCCAACCTATTCCTGATGAAGAAACCCGAACGCATCCCCGTCTTCAACGGCTACTTTATCGACGAATATCGCGCGCATGAAATCTTTGATGCGAGTTCGTTTTATTTTATTTGCTTAGTTGTAGTGTTGTTAATTAATGCTACCATACTAAAGGTCTGGTAATGCCGTCAGTAATTGCATCAATGTTACCGTTCATCAATTCGGACGGGGATAATAAGAGTGATGATGATCGTCGTCACAGTAATAATAAACATTCGAATCGTTTTAATTACTTGTCAAAAAGGTATTGTTTCTTGCTCTTATATTGTTATTATTTACATTAAAAGCAGAGATAGTAAATAATGAAATAAATGTGGATGATCTGCACAGATTATCGTTACCATTTCACAAGAAGAATCATTCAACGCACGCAGATTTACTGCAATATGAATTGGATTTATTGAAGTTGAATATTAACAACGATAATAACGATAACAATAATTATATGATTGGTAGCGATAAATATTTCAATAATAAGCAACTTATAAAAACCATCAAATCAATCGCTTTCATCACGGAACATATGAAATCTGAAATGGCGCATAAAAAGGTTATTTATTATCACTGCTAAAAACAATTGATAGGTCGTTTCGAGTTCAGTCGATCTCGATTACACGAAAAATACAGGCAAAAAACAGGCCATTGTGCAATAACACATCTGGTAATAGATATTTGTGGTTCAGCTTGGTGACATGTAAATTCGAAGACAAGTAAATTCGTTTTTCGACTCTCCTGAAAGCAGTTACCGACACGAGGTGAGGCACCAATCACTGTAATAATCTCAATTGAAGATTCGTGATGAGTGGAAGTACGTGTCATTGGTAATCGATCGTNGACCCTCGGAGGGACGCTATCAATAATCCTATCGGCACCTCATGTGTTCGATTTCGTCGATCAGAATGATATCATCAAGAAATTGATCACTATCAACAATATTGACAACACTGATAAGAACGACAACGAAACCGATTTCCTTATTTAGGTGTATCTTTATCATTAATTAATCGAGTGAATGTTTGTTTGTGTTGTGGTGTGATATGACAGTAAAGATCTACTTTATACAACGTTTTATTGCACATCACAAATCAGTTATAAGAGACTGAATATGAAGCTTTGTTCACGATCCTCATCCCATTTCTCGTCGATATGAAGTTTGTCGCGCAGTTCTTCCCATTTCTGTCGGCGTCTAGCATTGAAAATATTATGAATAAGTAAATAAACAAATAAATGAAAACACCAATAAATAGATAAATAAGTAAATGAATAAAAGAAATGTAATAAAGATGAACATTAATTGTTTGTGTGCCTCCAAATCAGAGTCAGTTTCGAATGAAGATTGATCGCTGAGATCAGATGGATATCGATCAGATCTGAATGCCAGAGGTGTTGTGCTCGATTGATCTTCTTTTAATGAGTGCACCTCATCAATCGACCACGACGACTCTTCTGAGCTGAATCATTCATTGATTATTATATTAGTCAAGCGTGCTATCAACAAACCTGATAGAGGGTTGATATTTCTTGGGCAGGCTGTCATTATCAGAGAAGTAATCGCTGCTGCTACTGCTGCTGTTGCTGTCACTGTTAGAGCGTTTGAATTTCTTCGAGTATCTCCTTCGCTGTTTATGACATTTCTGAATGAGTTTCCGCTTCAAGCCCCAACTGATCTTCTTCAAGTGCATAAAATTACAGAATCCACCGCGATTACACTCTCTGAAAGATCACTAGCTGTTTGCTATACGAAAACAGATGCCCTAGTCATACCCCATTTCATACTGTCTACAACACGCATCTCTGAAGTCAACCACAGGTGATAGCTCGCAGTCAATCGGATATCCATTGAACCAGCGATTGTTCAGAGATCGCACGGCACGCAGTGCTGACCATTTGTATCGGAACTTAATCATAATCGTTATCAATCGCAGCACACTAACACTTAATAATACCTTGATGTAGACATTGCCAAGCATATGCTCGCCCACATTCTCACAAACGTTCATCTCATCAATACGTCCATATTGCCCGTCTATCTCCATGTAAACTTCACGATAGAACTCGTCAAATTCACGTTGCAATTCCTCTTTCGATTTATCTGTTATTATTATTATTATGATTATTATTATTATTAATATTATTATTATTATTATTATTATATTATTATATTATTATTATATTATTATATTATTATATTATTATAATACTGTTATGATTATTACTGTATTATTACCATTTAATTTATACGATAACATTCGAACACAATTTAATTTAACTTACCAGTACTGCTTGATGTTGAACCTTTATAGAAATTATTCAGTAAGATTGTCTGAAATTATTATTTCAGTAATTATTATAAGCAATTGATAGATTAAATAATAATAAAGAGAAATAATAAAAAGTATAAAACCTGACTATACTTCGGTCTAATATGAAGTCGTGAACATTTATTACCATGACGGCACGCACCAATTTTGAAATAGAATGAGCATTTCACTCTGCAATCGTTATATTCATTGTATTCGGTAAGTGAGAAAAGAATAAGAAATAAAGTTAATTAATGTACCGATCTTTATCAGTGTTCAGTGTTGAATGAACGTCGTCACTGTTATTATTGTCAGTACACATAGCAGTTGTGGTGAATGCATATTAATTTTTATTTCGGAACAATCATTCAGCCGTTATTCATTTCATTATTCTTTTAATCGGATTCGCTGAAACCGGTTTTCAAACATATTTTGTCTGCATGCCGTCTGCTTTCGTGATAATAATGATAGAAAAGAGTGGTTGTGTTAAACAGTAAGAAGTACTTTCGGAGATGAGTAAGGATATGGATGAGTGAGTGCTGCTCTGTGCGCTCGAGGAATAACGCCATCTGCTCGATAAGGGATGAGGATTGCATGCAGATATATGTATGTATCATGCTTACACACTAATCAATAAACTGCATATACATTCATTATTATTGATTATTCTTTCATGGATTTATTATATACACTATTGATAATCAATATGAAAGGATTTTGTCATTATTGTCCAATAGTCTCTTTCTGATCATTCAGTTTATTGTTAACTTGGAATTAGTATATACCTGGCAGGGATTAATATTCTGTTCGTATTAATTAGTACAAACATTTTGTGANATTTTACACAGATTTCAGTATGATATTATCATCTCGAAGTTGGATCTGTCTGCAAATTTAGTTTTGCTATTGTATTGTTGGGTACTGTATTGTACTGTTTGCTGTTGTACTGTTAAATGTTAATGTTAGGGCATGGCTGCTGCATTCACTCATCACTGCACTACTTCTGGCCTTTTGTTTTATTGAAGTTACGTACTTTGAAGTTACACTTCGAGTTACATACTTATAACATCTGACTGTTGCAGATTTTATTGGTGCTAGATTTCTTGAAAGGATAGATATTCAAATTAGATATTCAGCCGTTTCCTAACTGTAAACTGTTATCTTGGCTTTATACCCGAAATTTTTAAGCCATTTTTTAATTTCAGGTCTTTTGACGAGGTTTTTTAAAATTTACTTTGTTGTTGAGTACATCATAAATACTCAAATATTTCGTGATAGAGTTATCGGGGGTGTGGGGCCATGCGAACGCCATAAGCTGCGTTGCGAACTAGGAACGAATTTATTATTTCGAAGACTCGTCAGAAATGATGTCAACGGTTCCCGGCTCACCGTGGGAACCGTTCTCACTGCCGTGGGAAACCTTCCTGGTGACATCACCACTGAATGCGAGTGACTAGCAAGGTGCCACTTGTCGTGGGGCCATTTGTCGAGGGGCCGATTAATGAGCACCCATAGGAAATGATGATTATTGTTCAATTGGTAATTATTTCGTGAAGACATTCAATCGTCAGGGTATTTCTTTTTATAAGCTATCGATTGGTCGTCTGTTTAGTTAGTTGTGCGTTTTGGATATTCGCTCGCGTAGTGCCTTTTTGAATTTTAATGGATATTGTTAGTGAATTCAGGATTAAAGGATGTCGTCCTCGTCACAAAAACCAGCAGCCGATAGTGAGAAACATGAGGAGAAAATGGAGGTTGAGGAAGTAAGTTTGTTGATGAGTGGAGGGGTGATGGAATAAGTAAGTGATTTTACATTAAGGATGCACTGGACGAGGAGATATTGCGAATGTCAGCAGATGATTTGAAAAGTAGATCACACCTTCTGGAAAACGAAATTCGTATCATGCGTTCCGAAGTGCAGCGGATCAATCACAGTGTGCAGACTCTAAAGGAACGTATCAAAGAGAACAACGAGCGCATCAAGGTTATTTACAACGAATTCAAAAATGAATCTATCTGTAAAAGCTGCATTATTGCCGTCCAAAACTACGGTCCATTCATTTAACCTGAAATGACCAATTGCGGTAAATGATAACACATTCAATTAGTTGATTGATTGACGATTGACGATCGGATGATTAGAAGTGTAAAAAAAGCGGATTGGATTGCTAACGGCAGAGTTGGATTAGAGTTTGTTGTTTTGATTAAATATGGAAAGTGGATACAGGTGAATAAAACACTTCCGTATTTGGTATCGAATGTGGTGGAGCTATTGGAACTAGAAGAGATGCTAGAAGAGGAAGGCTCGAATATAGATCTGGATGCACACAAGACAAAGTGTGCCGTCATTAAGACATCCACTCGTGCCACTTATTTCTTACCCGTCGTTGGCTTGGTTGATCCATCGCAATTGAAACCTGGCGATTTAGTTGGTGTTAATAAGGTTGGTTCTTTGCCGATATTTTAGATGTCATAAACTTGAATAACACTCGTACTATATAGGACTCGTATTTGGTACTGGAGAAGCTGCCAGCGGAATACGATTCGAGAGTGAAGGCAATGGAGGTGGNAGGTGGACGAACGGCCGAGTGAGCAGTACAGTGATATTGGAGGTTGTGACAAACAAATCCAGGAGTTGATCGAAGCGGTCGTGCTGCCGATGACACATAAAGACCGCTTCATTAATCTGGGCATCCATCCACCCAAAGGCGTGCTCATGTACGGTCCACCAGGTATGTCTGCTCCGAGTTTTTTGCATTTGTGACTGATGCAAATAATTAAAGGAACCGGTAAAACGATGATGGCACGTGCAGTGGCTGCTCAAACGAAGTCAACGTTTCTGAAGTTGGCAGGACCACAACTGGTGCAGATGTTTATTGGAGATGGTGCTAAATTGGTGAGGGATGCTTTTGCGTTGGCCAAGGAAAAGGCACCTGCGATTATCTTCATCGATGAATTGGATGCAATCGGTAC